CATAAAACACAAATATTTAGGAAATACTTTTAGTAAATAAAAAAAAAAACAATGAAAATGATTAACATTGTAAGATATAAATTCAACTATTTTGAAAATTATGAAAGCTAATTTTTCTTTAAAAACTTTACAAGTTCTAATAAAGAAATGGGAAGTGCTAAGCTGACATGTTTTAAGCAGGTAATTAAACTATCAAACTAAAGATTATCTACATTCATTAACAACGTTTATTCTTAGAACAGACGATAGAGCTGAAATCTATTATAAGGCCAACATTTTTTTTTACTATTTTGCTTGCTTACAGAATACTCATCAAACAACGTGTAAGCAATGATCTGATCTCAAGGAGGAATAAAGAAATCTAAGAATTGATGAAGAGTTTCTGTGTTACAAGTTAATCATCTGTTAAAATACTTTTAAACATCTTTAAATTTTCAGATTTAACAATGGGAAGATTTGAAATGGATCTAATATTTCAATGCATTTTACACAAAGTTTACTTATATTTACTGTATATAGACATTTTGCTTTTTTGGGGGGCTTAAAAATGTAAATATAGAAGTTTTATAATGGATGGATTAAGCAGACCATTTGAGACATTTGTTTGAAATGAGTAGAAATAATCGTAAGGGTTGGGGGGAATTAACACCAGCAAACAAGTCTTATACTTTGTGACAAAATAATGTTTGTACTTAAGGTTGGTAGATTTCTGATAAAATGGAGAAAGAACCCATTAATGATTATTTTACTCAACACACGGTAAGCAGAGAAGTTTCACAAAACAAATGAATGATAGTATTTTGACTTGAGATCCTTTTTCGGCCTTTTTGGCTGTCACCTATTTTGCTTGATATGTGAACAAGCCAAGTGTGATTGCAACCACACTTATGGCCTACCAATATATATTAAATAGATCTTAGTCTTAAAAAATTCAAAAGTACCCAAAACCTCAGATTTTAAAATCTATTTGAAGAAAAGATAATTTGATCAATGTTTACCAACAAAATTGTTATTGAAACATTGTCAAGAGTTTAACACTTGATACCCTTGATCATCAAAGCCTAGTTTCCTAACAGATATTATTCTTAGGAAGGTGAAAAAATGCTTTTGGGTTAAAATTTTTTCTCAATCAAAATTACAGAAAGCAACAGGGAATCGGGATATAAATGATTATGGAAATGGTCATCAGAGAAATGAGATTATTTATAATTAATCTTTCAAGTAATTCCACTTAGTAGCAGCCATCTGGAAAAAGACAGAATCTCTCCATTAATGCTTACTTCCCTTATACCTTAAAAATAAAATACGAAAATTGTTATTTTATACAAAGAAAACACTTTCATTAAGTGCTTAAATGTAAAAAAAAAAAAAAAAAAAAAAAAAAAAAAAAAGCAGCAACAAAAATAAGTGATCATGCAGAAAAAAAAGAAAAGAAAAAAAATTCATACAAGAGTTGCAATCCCAGAGTTGGGAGGTATGCCTCCATGAATGGATCATTTAGAAAGAAGAAGAAAAATGAATTATTTTATCATACTAGAAAAATACATGAAAAATAAAGGAATTTACAATAAAAAAAAAAAAAAGAAAAAAAAAGAAGACCCAAAAAACTTAGTTAAAATTCCATTAATCTTAATATAAAAGCTTAAAACAATCTCTTAAAGAGTTTTATGTAAAAAAAAAAAAAACCCACAAAGTAGAATAAATCTTTTCCAAGAAACGTATTCAAAATTTAAATTTAAAAAATTAGTCTAAGTTTATTAGTAATAGGCATCTAAAGAAGTCTGTGGGGAAAAATGTACATAATTCTTTAGACTTAATCTATACTGAACTTAATACTTTTAGTTACAAGTTTCACTGTTAATCAAGTTCTGGTTGGGCATATTTTTTTTTTTCGAAGATAATGTAATTTCAGTAAGTTTCTTAGGTTTCTTTCATAATAATAACTGAATCTGCTCATTATTGAAGCTTTAGGAACTACTGCATCAAGAAGAAATTCAGCCTTTAAAACTTATGGAAAAAAAAAATTAAAGTAGCAGGAGGCATACCTCAATATATATATATATATATATATATATATATATATATATATATATATATATATATATATTTAAAAAAAAAAGTATGGGGTGAAAACAAGGAAAAAAAAAAAAAACCCCTGAAAAAAGCCAAAAATGAAAAAAAAAATATAAATAAATAAAAAAAAAAAAAAAAAAAAAAGAAAAAGAAAAAAAAGAAAAAATATGGTAATTTTTTTTGTTTAGGATAAATAAAGGAATGAATGAATAAAATTTCATGCACATGCATAATCAAATTATTTTTTTTTTAATTTTATTTTATTTCTACAAACTAAATCCAGCAATCATTTTGAAATGATTTCAAGAATTTATGGCATGCAAATTAGGAATTTGGACTCAGGCACATCATAAGAGTCTTGATACAACTGCAGTGCCAAGACATTTCATCAGCCTGACATTGATGTCAACATCCTATACATATTACAGTTATACAACACTAACTCCTAAAATCTCACTTTTAATACAAGTTAAAAGAAAAAAATATTCACAAATTGTATGTCATATAAGCATATAATGGTGGTTTGAGAATAGCCAAGTTAGAGAGATCTTTTAAATAATGACTGAATTTGGTTCATTAAGTTTAGATTTTATAAGATTAATCCAATGTCAAAAGTCAACAAATATTCATGGTTGGAATTGCAAACAATATTATTTATTGCTTAACCACCACATAAAAGAAAAAAAAAAAAAGAAAAGAAAAAAGGTTTCAACATGATTAGCCTAAAATGTTTGACTTCCATGCTTGGGTATCCTTGTTCATATTGCATCAAACAATCATTGATAATGCAGTTTCAGATTAACAATTCTTCTTATGCAATAGTTTCTTCTTCACATTAACATTTTCATCACTGTTGTTGTTCTCTCGAAACAGGCAGTTGACCATTTGTCTTCAGACATTTCTCTTTACAAACTGGTCAATTGTAAATATAAAAGAAATGTTAGATAGCAAAGAAGAATGAATCTCCAACAACTGTAGAACTAGAATGCAGAAGTGAGAATAACAACAGCGATAAAAATGCTTGTCTGAAGAAAACAATAAGATAGATTATTGAATGACTTGTGCATTTAGTGCAAATGGTTAAAAAATAACCAGTGAAAAATAAAAAAAAATAAAAAATAATCAAGTTATTAAAGACACCCCTCATCTACCTTGTCTCTACACACATACTTCAATAATCAGATCTTTGACAAAAGAAAATGGGGTCAGCATTTGGCAACAACCATAGAATATTCTGGAAATTACTGAATATGGCAAATAACAGCCAAAGATTGCAAGTGAACAAGCATTAGAAGAGCAACAGAAACAAATTGTCTGGGCTTGCATTTTTGAAGTGTGCAGTAATAAATGCAGATTTTATAGGGAAGACAAAAACATTTCCCTGTGACTGCAAACATGATTTCATTCACTGACAAGAAGTCATTATTCAATAAAATTAATGAAGTCTATGTTCAGAAAACATCAACAGGAACAATTCATTAACGAATAGGGCATGCTACAAAAGCAGACATAAGTTGTGGAGATTAACAGCAAGTGGCACTCAGGGCCAGATTTTCATCTAAGAGCAACAGAATTAGATATAGAGAAATGCAGGGTGGGAGAGGGGATTAGGTTCATGTACTACAGAGTGCGTTCTAATAATCTGCTTTGTCGGAAGAACTGAAATGGTTTTCTACTGCTTAAAAAGGGGTAATTTATTATGAAAAGTTCACTACTGTTCTAGTGTTGATGATAAATGATAGAAATAAACAAAGGGATGCAGTGATTAATATGATCACTGAAACTGAAAATAATAATAAAGTCTACCAATACAATCACTGTTTTCCAATTTAGAAATCAGCAAAATGTACAGAGTTATGCTAACATTGTATTTCTAAAGAGAGATTGTGAGATCAAATGTTTATTCATAGTGAGCAGATAAGTAAATAGGGAAAGAGGATTAAAAGAGAGAAAAATCTGCACAAGGATTTGAGGCCTGAAAAGTAAAATCAGAGTAGAAAACAGAACATTCCTAAATCGTAACAAATGTAAACAAATTATATATTAAAAAAAAATCCAACATCTAAACATTTACATTAAATGGCTGGTCTTTGCTACTCTAAAAAATACATTTGCAAAATATATAATGGGTGACTAATTATTTCCACTAAAGAATGTAAATTTAGAAAATTAAAATAAATAAATAAAACCCTTTGGGGGAATTTCCAATATTTCTGGTAGCAAAATACAGATCAATTTTTTTATGGGGGAGTTACTCACTCCAACCCAAATAAAACATTTTCAAACAGATTTTTTTAATTAGTTTCTTTTCAGTTGTATCTCATAAGTTGGTGCCATTTTATCTTGATAGAGGCAGAAAGCAAGAGTGTGTGTGTGTGTGTGTGTGTGTGTGTGTATATGTATATATATATATATATATATATATATAAAAATTCTTTTTGGAAAAGCATTTTTTTTTAAATCGTTTGACTGCAAAATTTTAAAAGGGGGGAAACTATTGATGGAGTGAGACTGTGCTAATTGAAAATGGTGAAAGGAAGAATAGAGGCTGAAACAATATGTGTTTCTGTACCATCAAGAATACCATGCAGTCCCTTTATGCTGATGACAACACGTCCCACAAAAAGCATGCATTTTACTTGAAGTATGTATACACTTTGTAGTTTTGGTTTTGTTATATGGAAAATCAAACTTACATTTTAATGGAATCATGTGATCGATCCAAAGTAAATACAGGTATTTAACTGCAGCTGAAAAGGGCAAGCCATAGATTGACTGTTTTCATTAAGGTTTAAAAAAAAAAAGAAAAAAAAAAAGAAGAAAAAATTAACTAAATCCTAATATTTCTTTGCCATCAGATAGCCATCTTCAAGTTTAATGGCTATGTCAAAATATCTTCATTAAGAATGAGTAATAATCAATCATACCTGCTTAGCACGGCCAATTTTTATGTGGCTGGCTCGATCATTAGGTTTTTCAAATTCTTTGGCAAAATCTGTGCCTTGAATAATCACCGTTTCCATCTCACTGGCCAGAGATTCATTTGAGCCAGATTTACTCTGAAATTAAAGAGAAAAAAAAAAAAAAAAAAGAAGAAAAATAATAGATCAGAAGGTCCCAAAAAATAAGTGAAAGCAAATTTTCCATAAATAAAATTCTATTTGGATGAGATCTTTACGTAGCTATAGTTTCAAATATTCTCAAAATTTCCAATTTTAGGTATAAAATTGGAAGATGAATAATAAAGTTTAGCCATTTGTCTTTGAAAAAAAAAAATGTGAAGAGGAGGCGGTTAATAAAGTTGGTTTCTGTTTTAAACCAAAATGGATCATATGTTCAGTTAAATATAAACCTGTATTTCCAAATTCAATTCATATTAAAAATGAAATAAATTGAACAGATTCAAGTAATAAAAACAATACACATAAAACAACGTATTTGAACAATTTTTAAATTTATCTTGCTAAAAAGACATTCACAAATTTTGCATAGAATAAGCAAAAATATTTTTTTTACACAATACAGATTGATTGATGTATTTTTTTATGGTTTATCAACTTTGTTGGTTATTTAAATTTAAAATATATTTTGAATTATAAGAATATTTTTTTTGGTGAGTGAATAACATTAAATTTTTTTTGAGAATAACAATGTTTTATCCAGATACAAATCCTACTATTTAACCAATAGATTGGAGTAGGAGAAGAATTCATAAAAAGAGTATTTGAATACAAGTGAATCTAACAAACTTGACTTGAGGTAGATAGCTATAGAGTAAGAGGTAGTTTATGCAGATAGGAGGGAAAGATAACAGTTAACCCAAGATGTGAACAGGCTAAGATTGTAGTGATTGGGGAAATATCCTCTTGGGAGTTGGTTCCACAAGGCGGTAGTTTGTGGGAAGAAGTTGTCTGAGTGGAACTTACTTCTCACCAATGGAATATGAAGGGAACGAGGGTGGTTTGTTACAATGTTGAGCGGCATGACAGGCCCTAGACGTAAAGGTTAGAACTGGCAGAACCAAGGAAAACACTTTGAGCACTTTCCATGGAAGTAGTGATAGAGTAGTGAGAGGCTTGCTACATCCCATCTGTGAAAACTATTTGTCATCCACAAGGTGTCAGAGATGCTTTTGGACTCTATCAAGGCTGGAAAGTGGAGGACTGATCAACTATTGCACAAATATGACAACAGTACTCCATTTTCGGCCTGATTTAAGTTTAAGGCCCAATAGTCTCTCAAGACACAGAGCCTCCCTAAGAGGACATCCGTTCATCATGACTGGTGGTAGTTTGTGGCCTGATTGGCAATGATGGAATGTAACTAGTTTGGTTTGCAAAGCATCGAATGTAACCAGCCAGGTTTTCTCCCGACTAAGATGTTAGAGCTAGATCAGATGAGATATCAGCTGCCAATCTCTGGTCATTACAGGTTTTGGAGGTGCACCCATATATTGTCATATCATCAGCAAAGATATTCACAAATGATCTGAGTATACTCTTAGGTAGATATTCTTAGGCAGATCATTTATGTAAAGTAAACAGAGGGTTGGGTTTTAGAAGTGATCCATGGGGACTCCTGTGTTGATTGCTAAGGCCCTGGAGGACTGACTATCAACAATTACCTGCAGGGACCTACAGAAGAAGACTCTTTCAGTAATTCCATAGCCAGAGAACTTGAGCAGTACACCTTTTCAAAGGCCTTCAAAATATATATTGCTATGATGTTTGAGGCATATTTGTTGTCAAGAGCCTAAGTGATTCTGTGAGTAATGGTAGTTATGACATCAGCAGTGGATCAGGTCTGATTGAAATCAATACTGCTTGTTACTCAAGAAGCTGTTCTTATCTAGGTGTTCAACAACCTTGTTGATTATAGCCTCAAAAAGCTTACTTATGGCACTGAGGAGACTAATGGGGTTATACTGAGAGGGGGATGAGTGCTAGTCTGTGCCTTTGAAAACCACACATATGCTTGACACTTTCCACATGCTTGGGAAGGATTTCTTTTTCAAGTAGCAGTTAAGTAACTTTGTTAGGATTGGGGATAGTTCCAGGTTGATATCCTTAAAGACAACTACTGGAATTTTGTCTGGGCCAGTGGCTTTCTTAGGGTCAAGGCTTCTGATACAGTTTGTAATTAATGCAATTCATGTAAAGAAAAACAATTTAGCTAAGCATGAAGAATTCCTCTTCAGACCAGTCAACTCATTTTGTACTCTCCCTCAATATTGATAGGGAATCTTCAAGTTGTCAAAGACAGCAACGAAAATCCTTAATAAAAGTGATCTCAGCCAATTACCACAACTATTAGTTTTGTTCCCAAGAAAGTTGAGATTGGTAAAGCTAGTAAATGCAACCTTTGTTCAGTTGTCTCTAATACAATTTTACAGCATAGATCACATTCTCCAAACCATTCTCATCAATAACAAACTTTTTCCAATCAAAGACAAGGATTCACAACAACATAATTGAACATTTCATTTAAAAATGGTAGGCTTTGTCTGTGGAGTAGAAACAACTTCTTAACATGTTTTGTGCCAAATGCTGACCTATCTACTTCATAATTACTAAAATCTCAGCCTCATTAACCATTAAAAGATAAAGCAACCACAATAATTAACAAGTTTAAGACCACCTTGTAATTTAACTACATTAGTAAAAAAAAAAAAAAAAAAAAAAAAAAATTATGAAAAAAAAAATTTACTAACAAATTTGTACATGACTATGTTCTATATTCATATCAAGCCAAATAGTATTTTGTATGACCTCATTTGCTTTTGATTACAGCTTTGATGTGGCAGGGCATGCCGAGAATCATGTTGTTACAATAATCAACCAATATTTCTTTTGCCCAAACTTCTTTAATAGTCTCTCTCAGTGCTTTGCTACTTGAAGCTAGTTTTACTGCAAATTTGTTTTTGATAATTTCCCATAAATTTTCAACTGGATTCAGATTGAGACTGTTTTTTGGCCAGTCCAGTTTTGTTACGTTGATCCTCTTCAAAAAAATTCTGAACCTTTGACTGATGACATGGAACACCACCATGCATAAATATAGTGCACTGATGAATGTGCATATGTAGTTTTAGGTTTCTCCTATAGTAGTTTCACATGCCTTGCACGATTCATCATTTTTCTTGGAGGCAAGAAGTTGAATCCAGCTTTTCCAGATTTGGACATGGCACCTCAAATCATCTGGCTTGGTGGGTGCATCATAATCTGAATTATATACTTTTCATAAAAATATCTTGCTTTGCGAGTGTGTGCGTGTGTGTGTGTGTGTGTCTTCTAATGTTCCTTTTACACAACATTGCAGTAGATTCATCGATGAACAGCTCCAGTGTTCAGCTGTCCAGATTTGATGTTGCTTAGAAAATGTCTGACAGTTGGATTTCATGGCAGCAGTTAACCGTGGATTACGAGCCGCTTTGAATGATTTCAAACTAAATTCAAATCTCAGACAACATAGAACTGTCAGAGAACTGACATTTGTACCATTTTAACACAGAGCAGCATGTATCTTCTTACAAGAGCTATTTAGGGATTGTTGATTTATCAAATGGTAATCACTAGCACTGATTTTCCTTAGATGTCCACTTCTTGTCACTGAATTTTGGAAATCCACAAAAGCAGTGTGTACAGCAGTTTTGCTACAACTTACTTTTGCACTAATTTCTATTTTAGAATAGCTTTCATCATGTCAAACCAAAATTTGAACCCTTCATAGATGAAAGTGAGGATTTTGTGACCATATCCTCAGCCTAATTTATTGTACAATGGCTGCTAATTTAGTAATTACAAAAATCTTTTCACCATAAATCATGTGTGAATAATGATGCAATAACAAAAAACTATTGTATCATACAATTTCATATAATACAAGGTAATGCAAAATAACGAAAATAAACTTGTCACAGCTAAGTGGTTTTAAACTTTTGTTAATAACTGTATTTAAACTAAAGTGAGTTTAAGTGAGAACTAGTAACTCATATAGGAAGTGAAAAGAGCTTATATATTTCCCAACAAGTTAATAAGATATTGCTAATCTGTGTATAAAGTTCTGTTTTAATTGAGTCAAGGAAGAAAGGATAAAATATCTGTTTAATTAAACAAGTATTCCAGTATCTGCTTTTGTATAATGTTCATGAGAAACAAAAACTACTTATTCTCATTTGTTTGCTCACGATTCAAACAACCATAACCTGAAATAAACTGCTTCAAAATTTAGCCCCAAAAGCATGTTGTTATATAGCAAACTTAGTTTGGCACAAGGCCACAACTGTGGGGCATCCAGTGAAGATCAAATTCTCTACTCAAGTAATGATCAACCTTATGCTGAGATACCCAGGTCCCAAAAGCATGTTGATCAAAGTCAAAACCTGAAAATTACTGAATCTATTTCCATTTCTACTAACACATTTAACATGTTCAACAAAAATTCTCTACTGTTAAGTTATATAGAATTGGTATAATTTTTAATTAATTCACATAACATATCCACCAGTAAGAGACTGGATAATTCCAAATCAAGTTATCGAATGATCTTGTAGATGCCCTCTCAGATTTCCATAAAAATTTGCCTGTTATGTCCATTCCAAGAATGACATTTGAAAACACTCAAAGTATAACATTGAGAAAAACTCTTCTGCAGTTTCTTTCTTAAATATACTGGCTTCTTAAAAACACACATGAATGGAAGACTTAGGGTTTTAATAGCAGAAATGGGCAAATGAAACAAAATGAAATATATAAAATATATATATATATATATATATTTTAAACAGGCTGAAGAGGGTAGCATAAATGGTTAAAACTGATGTTCATACTCTGCTTATTGAAACAAAATTTGTAATCAAAATCTATTTTCATATTTCAGCTTGAAATGGAAAAGAGGTTTAGTATCGAGTACAAATTTTAAAGAATGTTAGATAAAATATAAAGCTAAAATAAAAATTCTATTTTTTTTTTTTTCAAAATCTTCCTTCGTAACACTGTATCTGCATACACTTCTAGCTTTTTTGGCAACAGGGATATAATCTTTTGGCAACAGGGATATT